AGCCTCCAATACAGAAATAAGAAGGCCAAAACTTACGTAGGAAATGAGGTTGAATCTCCTGACAACGACTCGTAAGTGTCATTAGAAGCCCATGCAACAATCTCCAGTGGACAAACCACTAACTAATATGTGATGATACAAGTAAGAACCAAACGTCAGAATGTTAAAAAAGAAAAAAAAGAAGTCGGAATAAACTGGCTTCCCAAGCAGAGAAGCAGGACCATTCAAGCAGACATTTATACAACAAAGCCCAACGACAGATCCCAACTATAGGACGTCATGAGGGAGAAACCAACAGAAATCGAAAAGATCAATCGCAACTTTAAGATCATCTTAAAGTTAGACAGACGACGACACAATACTCCAACCCAAGCCTCAGAACTCGGAGCCATACTTGGAAACAAAACTGACAGACAAAACATAGGAGAGGTCAAACTCCAAGAGAAGAAAAGGACTTCAAGGAACCAAATCATGAAGAACGAGGCAAAATCGAATTTGCTCAGAAATCCGAGTTGAACTAAGATTACGGAGAAGGGAGGACTAGTGTAAGCTCAAGAAGTCAGAAGGAGACAAAATAAAAAATGGAGTAAAGCCGCAATACAACTGGCAAAGGAGGTGCTGACAATTACTAACAACAGGAGGCCTCCCTCAAGGAGCTAAGGATACGAGGGGTCAAGCAGAGACACACCCAGTTAAATCGGGGATATAATAGCTGAAAGCTAAACAAAGCAGCAATTATCTAACGAGGCTGAAACAACAGATCTGAATAATCAACCGGGCCTTTACCGTGAATATATGATGACGAATAGAAATCTAGACGGACAAGAACCCCCATCAAGTACAACAGGTAAGGTCCTAATAGGCAGGACGGGTAAGGGACCAGTTGGAACCGTGAAGTGGAAGTCCATCCCAAAAGGAAGGACTTCAATTAAGGGACACCGGAACAAATCAAACCCGTGTAGGGGTTCAGATAGGAGACCCCCACCAGCAAGCCAAGTTAAGGGGCCCAAACAGTCCCCAACCGAAGTAGAAACTAAGGAGGCGGAACCCCCCGAGATTGAATCAGTAACATCAACAACAGTCAGGAGCTATCTAATCCAAGTCGAGTAATCTCAAAGGACAATCGTAACGAAAGAATTAGTCATTAGGTGACAGATAAGATCGTAAAAGGATCAGTCAAAACTGAGAGAATCCCAAGAGGGAGGAAGTCGAAGTCCCCAGGGAGGATACAGGTCAGGCTAAATAACCCTTATCACTCAAAGGGCGCTGAGCCCCAAGTGAACCGTCTGTAACAACTTCACAGAGCGTAAAACAGAACATGACCCCCTGCAGGAAGCAAAAGGAAAATTTAAAAGGGAACATCGACTCCCAAGAAGGATGGGGCAGAGGAAGCTCCCAGGCTAAAAAACGCCAGAGTGGAACATGTAGGGTTTATGTAACAAGTCGAAAGCGAACATCACCCCACCACCCCTTCCAAAGGATAAGATCTCTAATGGGGTTTAATTGTCAAATAAAATCAACAATAAACAACCAGATTAGAGATTCCTCAGGAAGGACTAATAAGAAGAAAACTGGAGGATGAGCCAAACTCACAGCACCGGATGAGGTCAAGGGACGTAAACTTCAAAGATAGAGAAGGATAAGAAGAATGCAGGCATCACAAAGTCTGAGAGTCGAACATTCCGAGAGATTAGGCAGGCTCCCTAACAAAAGGAACGGACAGGAAAAGGAGGAGATAGGAATAAATATCCGAGTTCTCAAGTCACAGGTTCAGAAGCAACAGGGGGGGTTAGATTCGGACAGAGCGATCATGTCTGAAATCACAAGTCTTCTCCTCAGAGGGAAGCAAGGCTCGGAAAAAAACAAGAGCGTGAGTCCAAACGTAGAGATGAAAGAAGGTAGCAGGGAAGCGGTAGGGTGGCTAAAGTATCAGGAGAGGGGTTATGAGAAGTTAAGACGAATAAGAAGGGAAACTTATGGTATGCAAGTCAAAGGTCTAGTAGGAAGGAGGAGCCTCAGGGAGAGGTAAGCATTGAGAAGGCGTCGTCATCCGAGAAAGGTGAGCAGCCCCGGACCTAAGAACAAGATACCAAATAAATGACGGACAAGATGAATGGAAGACTCCGAGAAAACGCGGGAGGAACTCCCGAAGTGGAATCGGTAGATAAAGTCAGAACGACAGGTTCCCCAAGGCATCTCTGATTGTCTCGAAGGGGCAGCAATGCAGGCTGCATATTAAACGACAGGCAAACCTCCTGCAGTCCTCTCCTGTAACGCAGGGGAAGATAAGAGAAAACTCTAACAGAAGGAGACCGATGAAGGCTCAAAACTCCCCTCAACAAAACAACAGAAGGAACAGGCACGTCTAATGTATCAATCAATAAGGGTAGCCAAAGGAGGACAAGATAGAGGTAAGAACCGAACTAAAGGATAAGTCGCACAGAAGGGGCACCAGAATCCTCGTCAAGGACGGAGCCATTTAGGGAGGAACCCAATTAAAAGAACGGACCAGGTGAAAGCACAAGTCTTCAAGGAAGGAGAAAGGGGTTAAGGCGCAGGCGTATTCAGGATAAGCGGTTGCGGGCGGGGCGCAGTAAGAGTAGTAATGGGCAAACCACTACACTGAAAAGGCCAAGCCCCAGTTCGAAGGACTACCTCGAAGGAGAATCCGGGGCGCTGAAGCGAGCATTCCCTAAGAGGGCCTACTCTCGGGCAAGGTCTGAGGAGAATTCGTGATTAAATTCCCGAAGAAGAAGAAGGACATAATCGAGCCGAACGTTGCAAGACTCCGGTAATGAGTAAGGGGGCCCTAATAAGCCGAAAAGGGAAGAGGTCGTGACTGAAATGCGCAAGTCAGGACCTGACATCAAACAGGAAGGAGGAACAAGCAAGAGGGACAAAAGCCAGCTCGAAGGCATTCTGAGTCACCCTCAACGGAAGGTTCAAATCACCCCCAAGGACGCGAGGTTTAGAGGAACTAGCCAGAACAACCACCGAGGCGAAACTATGACCAACTCAAAGGGGCACGACCCACTGGGTATCAAGAGATCAAGATGCCTCTGATGAGGAGGTCTCTGAAAATTGGAAGGCCTAGAAGGCAAAGTACGGAGTCAGGACTTACAACCCAAGTCAAGACAAGGAAGAATCTGAATATCAGGTAGGGAGTTGAGGCGTCCTGCGAAGTTTCGGAGCAGGCAGGTCAACAACAGAGCAAATTAAGGGAGTCGCTGCGGCTAAGAACAAATAAGGAACGAAGGATTAACGAAGAACGGAAAGAAGTAGAGAGGAGGACCAAACGGAATAGGCGAGGAAATAAGTCTAGCATGAAGGGAGGTACCAGGGAGTATAGGTCGATCAGGGACACGCGCCCTATTGGACTCCGGGGAGTTTCGAGGACGGCAAAGGAATCAATAAAGGAGGAAGTCTCAGATACAGCTGGACGTCAAGGTCAAGAACATCAAACAACAGGATAGGCACCGAGGGGAGGACATGGAGCAGTCGTACGAGAAATAAGAGGTCATGAACAGGAAATTAGTCATAATCAGCGCTATTCGAAAGCAGAACCTGCACGGCCAGGCCAATAGAGAGACTTTCATTAGAGGAGGGGGAGAGTAGATGACAGAAGATAGGATGGGCAGCCCCTGCAGCAGGGGTCCCAAGTGTAACCCCTGTCAGGAGATCAGGAAGAAGGGGCAGCTAACTAAGGCATTAGGGAGGGGGG